TATTTTTAGGGAGATAATTTTCGTTCCATTATTATTCCGCGTGTCATATTTCGTGAGCGATATTTTTGGGAAAATTGGTCCGATATATCGATGTTTTTTTCGCGATATATCGAAGCCGATATTGATATTTTTTAAAATATCGATGTATCGATATATCGATATTTTTTTCAACTTTCGACATCCCTACGGGCAGTGGCGGCGCGGTATGTCCCCGGCTGCCCGCCGTGGATCATACAAACCAGTTTATATGCAGTAACGCAGACGGCGGCGCGGGGCGGTCAGCTCACTCCGCGCCACGCGCTTTTTAGTGATGGACTATTCACTAGAACGAACGTCCTGAACTGACCGCCTCTGCCCGTCGTGTGCTTTGTGTACGCGGCGAGGGCAGCCGCAGACACGGTCTTTATTGTTTTGCGGACAAAAAGCCCGCCCCTCCCCGTCGTCTGCTAAACGCCTTAAACGTGATATAATGTAAACTGTGGTGCTCAGGATACGGAGACAGAGTTGTATTTATGAAAGGGCGCGGTTATTATTGAAAACGCATATGCGAGGGCGTGCCCTTCGCAGCCTGCCGCCCCGTTTTAAAGTAGGGCATTGCCTCATAATGCCAACCCCTAGCTGCTTCAAAAATAGGGTAAATTAGCAGAGAATGCAACCAATTATCCACAGGTTCCCGTTTAGTGGTACACCGCGCGTGCCTATATCATCGCACAGTTCCTTTGCTGCCCCACAACTGAGCCCACTTCAAAACGAGTTTGAATCGCTCTACTTAACAGGTTCGATTACAGGATTTTTTTCCTCTATCAATCCTCTTTGTTCTTAAACGACGACCAAAGATTTTTTGTTACAACAAAAGCAACTGCTCAGTACCCTTAGCACGAAACAATATCGAATTCGAATAGTTTGCGAGTCCGAAATGTCATTGTGAAAATTTGTACGGAAACTCGAATAGCAGCGCTACAAAGGATGTTGTAGGAAGGCCAAAGGGGAAGATCTTCCTCCGAGCTGGGTGATGGTAGCTCGGGGGCCGCGGCCCGACTGATGTTGGTAGGGCATCGTATATATAAAGAGTTAGCCTCCGAATTTCATTTGCGCGATGTAGGCTTCCATACTATTATGATCGCAGTGCAGGTAACGCCATCTCTTTAGATGTCGCCGCCACAACGTAACTAGAACTAAAAATGAGTACCTACGCATTTGAAAATTACATTTCGGACTCGCAAACTATTCGAATTCGATATTGGTTCGTGCTAAAGGTACTGCTTCTTAACAACGTAAGAAACTAGGAAGCCCAAGCATGAATTTTGACAGCTACGTAATCGTATCGACAACGTCATTCTCACGTCCGTTAGGGGCGCTGCTTAGTTTTCTTAGAAACTGACTACGCCAAACCATTATGGAGCTGCATAAGCTACCAAAATTCGTGCTTGGTCCTCAGTATCATTCACATCATCATCATCAGCCTATTAATGTCCCCACTGCTGGGGCACAGGCCTTCCCTATGGATGGAATAGGGAGATTGGGCCCATTCGCAATCCTGTCGAATTCACACAGCACAGCAACGCCATCTCTAAATGTAGGTAAAATCCGGCTGGTACCTTGGGTTAATATTTTCTAGTAAATAAAAACGTTGAATAAAATTTAACCCGGTCTAATAAAAATGATAATATTAATGTCTTTACTAAAGAGATTGCATTTGGTTGATACCAGTTAATGATTATAATACCAGTTGACCATACTGGGTTAAGGTTTATAATGAGGAAGTATCATAAATATTTCAATCCAGGAATTTGTATAATGGATCCGGTAACTGATAAGCGTACTCTACTACTCACTTTATATATAGAGATAACTTGAACCTTAAGATAATAAAAATACGGGGCATCCCAAATCTACCGACCCTTTGGAGCTCGCAAACATTTAATGTTGATAAGAAAGAAAGCTCAACTCTTCAGCTTTCTTTCCTAACGTTATATGTTTTTATGAACCCAGTTAAATTTTGCTCTATCTATTTACAGAGTCCTTTGAAATACATTCAGGATAAAACAATTTTTAAATTTTCAAATTAATCGCCATAATTAAATTAATATTATTTTTTTTCCCCCATCTTGGGAACGGCAAAGGCAGAGCCATGCAACCATAATCTTTATTTAAAGGATTTTTTTTTGTTCGTTTTTTCTATAAGGCCAAAGCCACTTCTTCAATCATAAGATATCTGTCCTAAATAGTCTTTCTAATCCATTTTCAGTTTAGGTACTTATTGTTTCCCCAAAGATGCCGACAGGTTGTATGCTTCCAAGAATTTTCTATTCTGTAATGCCTCGTTAGCCAGACCAGGACGTTCAAATACCACACCGATTTTATATTTGTTCACTCTTCGCAACTGTTTTACACCTTTGTTATATCGCTTCAAGCAGTTTGCTAATCCCATCATGTCTCGATTACCAATAGGCTGATCAGATTGTGTACTCTCAATGAATACCGCATATTCGAAACTTCCGCCTTGTTCTGGGTAAAATCGAACGTAATTAGGGATTCGGATATCTTTATATTTGTTTACATTTTCTTTGTTCTCTTCTAGAGACTGTATGGAGGAGACGTCGCTAAAGTTAGAATCTTCAGAGCCATCTCCACCCACGCCGCCTTGTTCATCTAATTGTTTTTTCCTTTTTCTACTCTTCCTATTCCTCGTTATTTAATACACTATGTACACACTTATTATTAAAGACTATTCAAAACACTATTCACAAGAAATATATAAAAAAAAATGGTTGCCTGTAAAGTCGGTTTTACGGGCGAAGATTTTACGTGACAACGTCTTTTTCTCGGTAGAATATTTATTGATATGAATATAATTAAATTGCACAATAGGAACAAGGAATTGAATGAAAATAAGAATTGCACAAATTTTAACTATAGAAATATATTTTGTTTACTAAAACATTGTACATGTAAACTTAAACTTAACACGAGAGACTCATCGTAACGTTACCGAGCGTTACACTTTTTCATAAGTGACTCCCAGCCGCAACCTAATTTAAGACGTTGTCACGTCAATTAATAAATTTAGTTTTATTCTTTAAAGAAGACCGCCAAGCTCGTCAAACGTTCCCGCGCTCAAGAAGAAAAATACTACTGGTGTCGATAATGACAGCATGACTACCTAAACTTAAACTTGACAGCAGTGTGTCCTTGTTCTTCTCTATACAGAATGAAAAGGACACACCTTTGTTTTACTTTTTACACTATGCTGTCAATTTTGAAATCAAAGGATTTCCTCTCCACACAGTACAAATCTTTTTTCAAGTTGCGTTAATAGTCATTTGTACTAAAACTTTTTTGTACATACAGTTCAGTTTTGAAAATAAATATGATTAATTGACACACTCAAGAAAATATACGTAACCAAAATCACAACTTTCTATTCTGAATATTGTACTTTATTACACCAAAGCATTTCGAGGTTTCCTTAAACAAATGGTGACAATGAAAGCTTCTGCTGTCTGTTCGTCCATCCGACAGCGGTTTATGTGGTTGCTCTCAGCTAGATCGCTATTATGCTGTCTGCCTATTGAAATTTTACTCACATAGTGTCGATTCTGGCATGATTCTCTATGCTTGACTGCATCCTCATAAAATAATTTTTTGGGCAGCAAGATTATAGAATGGGATGACAGAGAAAACTATTTCTTTAAGCAGTGTAGGTTTGCAGTATTAAGGTTAGATTGCGTTTTTATTGAATAATCTGATTGCCATATAGTATATATTAAATATAAAAAGTACTTGGTTAGGTTATGCCCGTATTCTGACTAAAAAGCGCGAGCCGAGCGAGCTAAGCGAGTGTCATAGCAGCGGCCAGCGAAGTACCAGAAAAAAAGCTTTGAAGGAGTGAGAGTTGTTTATCTTTGAAAATAATATGTGTTTACTTTGCTGCGGAAGAGTAGTTATCTTAGTCCATATTTTTTTCCGTTTAGTATATTTTTTTTGCTAGAGTTATACTTGCTGCACACCACTGACTTTTTTTTCTTACTCTGTGAGTGCTTACCAAAATTTCTTTATCGATATGTCACTCATTGCAGTTTTTGTATATTTTAGGCTGTACATTTTTTTACTGCTATGTAGAATAATATAAATTGCAGACTGATTTCAAATTTTTTGCTGACCATAAGTTGCTGCCCATTTAGTTATTTTGTCAAACTCTACTGTAGTCTGACATTTAATGCCGATATGTCGCTTTATCATATCCCGTTTCGGTGGTCATGCTAGAGGGGATGATATGATTATGATTTGATTCTTTATAAAGTATAGTGCGATTTATATAAGAATAGGGAAGCAAATGACATCCATCTGTCAAATGTCGGTTGAAAAGTACGGTCTGCAAAAAATCTTGGAACAATTTTTTTTGCACTCAGCTAATTCTAGAATAAAAACCAAACATTTGTAAACAAACAATTACAAATATTGATAATTAATATTGGTTGATATTTTTCTCATTTATTGAACTTTGGCTATGAATGGTTGATAACCTAAATATTCAACCAAATGTCACATTTAGTTGCGAAACTCGATTTTAAACTTTCGTTTACATAAAGGATTCATGTTCGTATGTGACCTAGTAACAGTGTATGATTATTCATAACTGACGACGGCAACTATGACGTCACAATATGGGGCCCAGTCGGTCCTATTCTTAGTTGAAACGCATTATTTAATAAATATAGACGGCTCAAGTTTACAAATAGCAAACACGAACATGCAAGTGAAGTGCCGGTAAAAAGTTCTTGCCATTACATATACGTTTAATTGTATTCCTGAACCCTGAGTCTAAACCATTCCTAAACAAATTATTACATTGCCATTCGTAAAATAAGAAGAGTCTGACAAAGAATGTCAAAACCAAAATAGAGTTATTAAAAAAGAAAGTAAATACTTTATGGTGTAAAGTCTTTGAATTATAAGTCATTTTTAATTATTACAATGAACTTTATTTATTTAAGTTAGTACAACATTAAGCTTACTCAAAAAGTGATTTCTTAATAAGCTGTAGGATAGAATTTTTGGTTTATAAGTTTACAGCTCATACAAAACCTTATAAAAGTTACCAGTTTTTGTGTCCACTGTGAAGAACCTAAGTTTGATGGCTTTTCAACCATAGACAATTTGAGTTGTCCAGATTGTAAAAAGATCGGCGGATCGCCTGTAGAATTCGGTGTGGATTGAGATGTCGGATATCGGCAGCGGAGACGAGGGGATTTCTAGTCAGAGTACGTATTTATTAACGAAGACTGAGCGTCCCTGACGTGGTGCGTTTCGCCCCGAGGCCATACAACGTCAGGAACCGGGTCCCCAGTCGTCCTAGCGTTCAAAACTAAATATCTCATTGTTCCCGTTTCAAAATGGCGAAGCGGGCTTCCCTGTATGTCCGGTGGTGAGGCCTCCGAGGGCTCCACGCGCGGGCCGGGCCCTCGAGAAGCAGGCTGCGGCGCGGGAGCGTTCCCGGGACCGGCTCCGACCGACCGCCGGCGGAGGTTGACGACCTATCGATTTTTTTGTCTGCGACCTCTCGTCTGCGGGCGGGCCGTCGTCTGCGGCGGGCGGGCCGTCGTCTGCGGCGGGCGGCAGCTGCTGGGCTGCTCACCCGCTGTGGAGGAGCTCGGCCTCCGATCGCACCTTTGTCCGCAGCCGCCGTCAACTGCCCTAACCCTTGGCGGGTCAGCCTTCCCCGGCCCTGGTCTGTCCCCCCGATCTCGCTAATCCTATTAGAATTCTCCCCACGATAGATTCCATCTCTCCTCGCGCTCTGATTAGCTGTAAATACGCCCCAATTCATATAGTACCTGTGGTTCTTTGTTCTCTTTTTGAGTGGATGTGAGTGTTCTATTAAGTGAAGAAAAGTTGTAGTGCTGTGCTCAGTTTGTGAAAGAAAGTGTATGTTCATATTGTCAAGTGCTGCTAAGCCACAAAGGAATGCCATTTGCAGATTGATGTTCTTCAAACAATGGAATCATATGTTTCTTTGAAGGTGTAAGGAACCTATCTGGTAGGTCGACATTTGACTAGTAAAGTGACTTACTTATACCGAGATGAATTTGAATCTTTTCATTACAAAGAGGACAAGGTGGATAAACCTTCTGAAAATCAGGAACTCATGAACATTGTAGTGAAAATCTGCATGGACCGAGGTATGATACTATTGATGTTGAAACAGTGAGGTATTGTATGTTGGATGACAAAGATACCAGGTGTTATTGAACTTGCAACATCTGGCCTTAAGGTAAGTGGTAACAATCAACGGCAAATCAGCTTCACAACAGCAAATATCACAATATTACATATACCTGATTAAACTTTAGATGAATGATGAAAAAATGATGGACAATCACAGTTAAACTATGTGATGTCATCACCTTTAGAATTGTATTATAATAGAACTGTTCTTCAAGTTCTCCTTCTTTCTCTGGCTTTCTTAATTTGATTAGCAGCTGGCTCAGTAGCCAGTGCATTATGTTTTGACCTAAGCTTTAATTTTGACATAATAAAGATTCACATCTTTTATTTAATCAACAGTACCTTACCAATAAAGTAAAAATTATGACGATTTTATTAAAAATTAAGTTCTAATTACCTACTGTTGTTGAAAATACAATACTAAAAGTTTTGCAAATTATGAAATAAAAATTGATTTATTATTTATAGTTATTTATGCAAACACTACACTTACAACATACAACTTTAGGTATGTCATTATGCTTTAACTAACAACAAATATTTATGAATTATTAGTTTCTTCAGCAATATATGGTCTAGGAATACAATAAAATAAAATTTGTTTAATGTATTTTGAAATCAGTAAAATTTATGTGAGGCAATGTGGCTGCCATTGGCCAATCCTTTCCATAAGCTCTAAACTTAACCTTGACATCTTTTCTGTATGTGGTATGGTTTCTTAAGTTAGCAACTAACATTCTAGTTCAACAAATCATCAATCACTTCCATGTTTGAGCAACCTTGTGTGGAATCATGGCTATTTCAGTACTTTGATGGCTCAATGTTCAACATTTCAATTTGGAACTACCTGACAGCTATGGTTACATCAATAAATACCTCTAGTTGATTAATTATCTGTAGGGAAAGTTTATTCATATATTTTTCAATTAAAGTGTTAGGATAAACCTAATTTTATTTTTCAAAAATCAGTAGGTTACCACTTCTGTGATGTTAATATCATGGCAATCAAATTTACTATCTGCCAATGATGAACATTGTGATATGATGCAACATTTACAAAATCATAGCCTCATTACTTACAGACAACCTTACTCGCTACCCAGGTTACATTAGAAAATGTTATTTGGTGGGTGATATTTTCCAAAATTGATTTAGCAGACCTCTCTGAGTATAAATGATACTAGATAATCACATATAGTGCTTATCTATAATTTTTTTGAGTTAAGCAATAATCCAGTATATTATACAAAAATAATTACTTTTTAATTTATTATGGTGTATGGTATTATGTTCAGTGTACTCCATTAATGTTAGGTTCTTTAAAAGACCATGTAAATCAAATAACCAATTTGGTTTTAAAAAAAGAAAAATGCTGAAAAGTATGAATAAATGTAATGTTACATTGTTATGCTCCATTGATTTTTATACATTTTTTATTATTATTTGGGATTGTCTGTTCTGCAAAGACTACCTTATTAAATGTGACTTTTTTGTTGCTATGCAGCAGTGCATTTCCTGGCCTGGCTCAAACTTATGAAATATTCACGGTTTTACTGCTTTCTTATCATATTTTTTTAGATAATTATATCTGATTGATATATGATAAAATGGTGTTGACTCTGACTTGATTCTCTAAACTAAACCTAACATTAAATTTGACAACAGAGTATCTTTGTCATTCTTTATACAGAATGAAAAGGAGAGACTGATGTTAACTTTAGTTTTAAGTTGACATAATCATTCCAGAATCCACACCAATTTTCTATTTCTTCTAAAGTAAGGAATTTAAATAATCTTGAATTTATTTTGTACACTGATTCTGTAGCCTCTAATATTAGTGTTAGCAAACATGGAACATGTTGAGAATGTACATTGCTTTATTGTCGTTTTCTATTTTACCTATAAGGTACAAATTTATCCTAGAGATCACATAATAACTGATACAATACCAGTGTTATTTAATTTGGACATTCCAAGCTGACAGTTAAAACTATGACTGGATCCGTAGCCCGCCCAAATTCACCTGAGTTTTGAAAATCTTCATACAATTTTCAAAACTCTTAGGCTAGGCACTTATACTTAATAGGAGCCTGAAGGGTGGTCTGTTCTAATATTTCTTTGTGGCATGCACTGGCATATTTTGAAATTTGACGCCCCAGCCCACTTACGACTTGCCCCCCTAGAATTTGTAAATAAAATCAAAATATATGCCATAGGCTGCAGTTGCCGCGCTTTTGCTATGACCCACTTGGTTTAAAAGTAAATACGCCCCTTTTTCCCGAAAATCCCCTAAAGTCCAGACGCAAAAATAGCTTAAATATACCAACTATCCTCACCTTGAGGGGCTCGATGGCGCAGGTGGCTAGCGCGTCCGGCTGCGATCGTTGAAGTTAAGCAACTTTTGCAGTGGTCGGTCATTGGATGGGTGACCAAAAATTTACTATCTCGAGCTCCTCCGTGCTTCGGAAGGCACGTTAAGCCGTTGGTCCCGGCTGCATTTGCAGTCGTTAGCACCCACCAATCCGCACTGGGCCCGCGTGGTGGGTCATGGCCCAATCTCCCTATTCCATCCATAGGGAAGGCCTGTGCCCCAGCAGTGGGGACATTAATAGGCTGATGATGATGATGATGATCCTCACCTTGCCGGCCTGCAGAAATGCCTCTTCACGACTCTTAAAGGACCCCAGATTGTAGGAGGGAGGGAACATATGCACGGGTAAAGCATTCCACTTGCGAATAGTACGACAGAGAAACGAGTGACTAAATTTCATTGTTCGTGCTGGAATCGTAGTCACAGTAAAGCCGGTGGAACCGTAGGCCAGCGCGTATGGTCCTCTGATAGAAACGGTGAGATAACTCGCCTTGTTAAAAAGGATACACCGCGCTTAGTGACGCATCATCACGGCGTAGTTGAAGAGACTCGAGGTGTTTAGTCACCTCCTCATGGCCAATGATGCGGGTCGCGCGCCGCTGTAACCTCTCTAGAGCACTGTAGAAGTACTTGGCTGACCCATCCCAGAGGTGCGAGCAATATTTACGCAGAACCGCACTTGCGTTTTGTTAAATAAGCACGGTAGAACGGGCGTATAAAACAAGCCGCACCTTGACTCCCAAGTTTTCGTGAAACTGTTTTGACCAGGGTTTCGGTGTAGTCTCTTGGATTCAGGTCACAGCGAACATCCATACCAAGTATGGTGATGTTGCTCGGTTTTGCCGTGAAAGCGCATACCTGGGTTTTTTTAGCATTCAACTCAACCTAGGTCTTGGTATCCCTTGGTGTGGTATTCGGAAATGTGGTCCAAATCCTGATTTGAGTTCAATGACAAGATTCTCCCGTTTGTTCTTGGTATCTACCTGTCCAGCCGCTGCTGCATGTCCGAAATATCCCGCATGCACTGTTCTATCGGCTGCATAGCAATGAATATTCCCAAGAGGAATTTAAACATTGTATTGCCCCTGGTGGTATAATCCTGCATTTTTAATTTAATTATATTTATCTGCCCCATAGTTTTATCATCGATGAACCTTGCAAGCAATACGTATTTTTTATAATTTCTGGACATATCACAATAACTTTTGATCCATGACTAAACAGAGCTCTTACTTAGTTACAATATAAAATAATATTGAATGCATTTTCTATGTTCAGCAGTGGACGTCCGTCGCCTGATGATGATTACCAAAATGCTCTTCCATATCCTTCCCAGGACCTATGGAGCAAAAGCAGGAGCATTGTCATTGCAAAAAGTCCTCTATATTAAACTAGCGGCGGACACGTCTTCGTTCGATAAAACTAAGTCTTGCAAATCCCTCGGGAACCTAACTCTTTTCCGAGATAAACAGTTTCCTTTGTCTCAATAGAGGTCATAAGCTACATCGAAATTCGTTCAGTAGTTTTTGCGCGAATCAGTAACAAACATAAATAAGTACATAGAAACTTATATATTCATTATCGAATACATGCATGTCGACACGTATTAGCTGGTAGGCGAAAAGTATTATGGCGACCACATAAAGTGAAATCGCCTTATAATGG